CTGAAGGCGCCGTGGGAGTCCTGAGTGAATTAGATCTGGGCTTTCTCTCTTTCACTCTTCACAGAGTGGGTGTTATGGAATAGTGGAGTACTGCTGCAGTGTGTGAGCATATATATATATATGTGTGTGTGTGTGTGTGTTTGTCAGTGAGGGGGCAGAACAAAACTGAAACAACATTGTTATGGGTCATACACAGACCCTCATCACTCCTTGAGCGAGCTAAGCTTCCTTTTGTGTTTTTCTGTGTTTCCACCGCTCTGAGGAATTACTGAAGTATGTGGGAGTAAGAGCTCCTTTTCAAAGGAGCTTGACTCGATGTCGGTACTCGACAACGTTTAGGTCTCTCATACATTCTCCCGCCCAAATCACACATTATGTGAGAGACAGGGAGTGGGCATTATGCAACTCTTACATGGATGCCTGCAGTGCTCATATCTAACAGGGGAGATGCACAGCAGAAGAATTTTCCTTCCAGAAAGTTGAGTTTATACACATATATAATATTACATTTCAACTCTGAGCTATTGACTACCCAGCCCATATGCGTATGTGTATTTCCCCACCAGCCATTTTCTCCCACACATGCCTCTCCTCCAAGAAATTCACATTCTATCAAATTCAATCACTTCTCCCTTATCTCTAATCTCATCTTCTTGCCTGTGAGTAGCTGGACCAGATTAGGCTCCAGCCAGTCTGAGGATATAATCTCAGATTACAACTCATGTGGCTGCTTTCACAGCTACCGCCCAGGAAGTGCCGACCTCTTACTTGAGTGCCCGCTGCAGCCTTTGTCAGCTTTCATTGGAGCAAAGATGGATGGATGGATTACTGAATGCGCCTACTAGGCATGGTCCCAAGGGGTTGTGGGGCCACGGTCTTCATGTGTAAAATGTCAATGAAAAAGTCTCAACACAACCACAAAGAAACTCAAAATGACAATAAATAGACTCAAAATGCCTCAAAAGAGACTCTTTCAGACTGGATGTCTTGCTCCTAAGTAGGGGTAGGGGACTTTTACAAATCTATGCCCAGGGAACTGTTGTTTCATAATTTTTCCATGGATGGATGGATGGAAGGAAGAAGTACTGGCTGCTTATAAACACAAATGTTTTTGTTCTCGCTCACATTCACAACATGATTTTTCAGATTCAAATCAGACATCATGAGTTTTTTCCGATATATATTTACATCTTACATCCATAGCATGAAAACATCAGCACATCTCATCTTATGTTAATGTTGTGGTAATCCGACAGTATGTACGTTCCTCTGTTCTGCAGCCCTGCCATGACAAAACACTGGGAGGCTGAGCTGGAGGCACTAAAGGGGAACAATGCCAAGCTAACGGCAGCTCTGCTGGAGTCTACAGCCAACGTCAAACAGTGGAAACAACAACTGGCTGCCTACCAGGAGGAGGCAGAGAGACTACACAAACGGGTGAGGGAAGGGGCACAGAAATGTTTGCTTGTTTTCATGTGTGATTCATTCATTCAAAATAAATAGCAATCATTTGGAAGGGATGGTGTGAAGTCTAGAAGAATAAAAAAAACAAAGATGAGAGATGCGTGTTGGCATGAGGGAAAAGTAAAGAAGAGGTAGTCTGGAAATGAAACATAGATTGAGATCAGGATTCTGTTGTTCCAGTTTCTCTCCGTGGATTTAAATCTTCATCTCCATCTTGTCCTTTTAGGTGACGGAGCTTGAGTGCCAGAGCAACCAAACTCCAGTGATCAAATCCCAGAAGACTGAACTTAACCAAACCATAGAGGAACTGGAGGCTACGCTGAGGGATAAAGAAGAGGTGTGTGTGATAGGGTGGAGTGCGTTGCTTGAAATTTAATGTCTCATGCAAAAATGCCCTACCTTCATACTGCACAGCCATTTAATCTGTCTTTATGTGCTCCAGGAAATGGAAAAGTTGAAAGAGGAATTGGAAAACATGAATGACCTGATGGAGCAGAAAGACGCCCTTTCCCAGAAACTTGAGGTGAGTGATACAAAAAGGTACTAACCATATAACTGTATCGCAAGCATCAGTGTGTCCTGTGTCATTATTTAACTCCTAATGGCACAAACCTGCCAACAATGCTCTCTCTCCTTCAGGAGACGGAGCTGCGCAGTCGGGTGCTGGAGGAGCAGCTGGCGGGGGCCGAGCAGCGGCTGGAGGAGAACCAGGAGGAACAGGAGAATTTCAGAAAGAGCCTGCGGACGCTGCTGGAGCTGCTGGACGGCAAGATCTTTGAGCTGACAGAGCTCAGAGACACCTTGGCTCGGCTCATAGAGGAGGCCAGCTAGAAACGGAGCTGCATAATCTTCACAGACAGAGCCATAGGATAATTTACACCCTGACACCCCCCAACTTACCCACACCAATCCTACCCACCATGCCCCACCTTCCTCCTGCACTCCACACACATTAAAAATGCAACACCACACTGCCCCGATTCTGATTTTGGTCAAAAAGGGCAGCTAACTCCCCATTTTCACCTTGCAGGCGTTGAGCTCCAACCAACCGCAGGCACTCCTGTTGTTCAAAACAATACAGGGACTACCTCATCTTGCCTTCTGATTGGCTGGTGAAGGCGTAACCTTGGTTGAATTGATCTCTCTAGTCATAGAGATGCCTGTTGTGGCGCACTGCAACTGCACCCAAACCCACTCACCCACACACCCACAAAGAGTTAACTTAAGAACTGTGCCTCAGTGACATCTGCTGTTTTACTGGGAGAGCTGCACCACAGCTTGCAGCATCACAGCATCTCACACACACACACACACACACACACACACACACACACACACACACACACACACACACACACCCCTTTTCTTCCTCTCTAAACTGCCCCCCACCCCACCCCGACCCAAGGGGAATGTTGAAAGTCATGTGGAAATAATTGCTGTTAAGACTCAGAGAACTGCGCCAAAGCTGCCAAATCCCTCCAAAATATTGTCCTCTAACTAGCAGATGCTTTGATCCAAAGTGACTTACTGTACAGAGAATTGCTGAACAGAGAAACAGAGTCCCATGTTTGAGCTCAGGCTGCCAGCGGAGTGTCGACGGAAACAGAGAATTAAAGGACAGCTCTCAACAAACCAGTCAGTCTTACCTATTGGCCTGGGGTGACATCATTGCTGCTCCCCAGCCTTGACACAAATGGCTGCTGGGAAAAGAAGTTTAGTTTGCTTCTCCATTGGAAAAGAATGACTGCTATTTATTCACAGCCTATTTAAAATCCCACATGATAGATGAGTATGGAATCTTCCAGAGGCATTGTTCATGCCACACAGAAATTTTAGAGGGCATGTGCCCATGTTAGATTTGACATGATATTTACTGCATCCAGACTGCTTCCACCATCACAGACAACTGACCTGTCTTCCTGCCAAACTCAGTGTGGTGTGTGTTCTTGAACAAGGCCTAACCTTCGACATAGTGTGTGCCTTCAAAGCACACATACTTGGAGACATGTTTGTATATAATGTGTGTGTGTGTGTGTGTGTGTGTGTGTGTGAGTGTTTTGTGCTGTGAGCGAAAGACCCTGTTTTTGGACATCAAGGCCTACACACATACACGCATGCACACACACACACACACACACACACACACACACACACACACACTGAGCAATACCAGACAGGCTCTATACGACACCTCTATCTAACTCTATCAGGTACTCTACTCAGTGGACTCATACAGATAGGTAAAATGCAACTCAGCTGATCCCCCTTGTCCAACAGAAAGTGTACTACTGTTGACCGAGAACCTGTGTGGCAGCCCTGTCTGGACGAAGTAGTGCATCGGGAAGGGCTTATAGAGTGTCATCTATGTGTTTGTAAATCTCCACCCTCAGCGAAACTGGCCACAGATTTTCACTCTTGGGTGAATACAGAACTGTACACAGTTTCTATTCTTTTTTACACAGGATATAACACTGATGATATAATAACAGAACTGTATAAATCAACTTTCTACTCATGACGTCATTGTAAATGAATGGATGGATGCAGTAACACCCTGCAGTGGCTTATTGTTGTGTATTAACCCACGGAAAAGCATTGTATAGTTATTATAGAGTATCTAGTCTGGTAACAAATAAACCTCTTCAGTATATATTTGAAATGCATAACAACACGATGTAAACACAGTGTTAAACGTTCTGTACCAAAACCTACACTTATAAAGCAGCTCCTGTACCAGTAAAATCCAAAACTGCATCTTAAAATTCCTTTAAAGTCACTGAATTTCTTGAAAGCTATATCCTCACTTGAAATGCTGCTTATCGTACCTTTCAATTGAGCACCCTGTTTGCACTGTGTTATTACACTGTTGTAACTACATTATATATCAAGAGTTTTGCATTAAATACTAGCACAGCATAAATCTGTACCTAAAATATTGTAGTTAGTTACACAGGTTAATACACTCGAATAAGACCCATGGGAAGGGAAAGGTTACCCTTTTTTCTTTTTGATTTAACTTTGACAGTTGAATGACAGAGATGGAGTACATTGATATTAATGCTATTGTTAATGAATGCCTTTGTACAGTAGTGGATAAGAAGCTTTTCATTCTCCTGTTTTGTAACTTATGGTATTTAAATGTAGGTATTATTATTATTATATTTAGAGGTATGAGAAGACTGGCAATATTTTTGACTATTTAAAGTAATTTTGAACTCATGATATTAAAGAGGTACCTCAGGCTAATGATGTCCGTAGATTGGTGAGATTTGTGTGTTTGCAGGTGAAAGGATTTACCAAATGCTGGTAAATAAAAATGGATCAGGAGACACACCTGTTGGTGCTTCAGCCAAACTAAATACTTTGTTGAATTCAAAGACAGCACTACCAGGCTGAGAACACACCTCTGTGAATTGAGAAATGTTATGTTTTATATTCAAATACAGTGACCGCAGAATTCAGTGTGTGCAAATGGCTTTTGTTCTGTTTAAAAAAACAAAACAAAATTATTCAGCAGACAACAGACAATCTCAGAATTTGCTTCACAAGGTTTTATTCAAATGTAGGGGCAAGGTTGTAAAGAAAAAAAGGTCTGAATAAATGAAAATGATAGGACTAAAGGCAAAAAGTTATTCTTGGAACAGTGGCTACACACTACTGTGTAAACACAACTGCAACATTTAATAAGTCTGTTGTTGTAGTAGGCAATCCATCTGAACTCATTATCACCCATATAACTTGTTTCATCTCTGTTCTTGTATTTCTCTATATTGATATTGCACTTCTCAAGTGACTGACAACGGATTATATAGTTAACCTGTGTTAGTAACAGGTCTACAAAGGAAATTTTCAGAAGCCAAAACATAAAATGATTTGGCCCGGAAGTGCTTTGGAAAAAACGGGATACAAACTAAGCATTGAAATGCAATGTAAAATTGCAGTTAGCTGACAAACAAGCTGTGTTAAGATTATTTATAGATAAAGGATACTGTAAAACATATGACAGTGTGTTTCGAAGGTCAGTCAGCAGATAAATAGTTGAGTTTCCCAAACATTTTTAGCACATTGTTGGTCATTGTTCAGTGGAGCAGCTTAAACCTTAGTGCCAACATATTTTGGGAAACTCTGCCCTGGTCAGTTTTATCGACATTAAGTCAGGTATGGTCTGGGTTAGGTTTAAGTTTAGGGTTAAGGTTCAGGGTTAGATCATTGTCTCATGCTACATGATGAGGGTACCAGGGAAGAATGTTGTGCTGACAATGACAGAAGAAATGTCAAATTGCGTTTACTCTGCCAGGAAAATAATAAATTCTCTTTAGCACTGAGCTATTTTCATGCTGTATTATGTGACATATAGTTCCATGCCTGTACTTTCTAAATTAATGGCTGCTTCATGATGAATGGCACTCAACACAAGAACAAGAGGAAAAGCACAAATCTTTGCAACATAGCTGTTTAGGACAATGCATGCTGAGCACGATCCAGACGCCGAGCTTAGTTCATGAATCCACACCTTTCTGCTTCATGTCAACATGTATGTTTGCGTGAATTACTGTGCTGCTAAGCATCTCACTGGTCTTCTCATACTGTCCTTCCATCACACTTCTGTAGGTCCAGTTCCACATGTTGTTTAGTGCTTTTAAACTTACTCATCTACTACAGCTATAATATTTCACAAGTGATTAAAAAAAAAGTTGTTACTGTACAGATAGAGTGATTCAGAATGTGTACTATGTATCATGAAAGTGCTGAAACCATTTCTCATGAGTAGAGGCTGTGGATTCACTTTGCCACGAAAATGTTCCTGCACATGTTGGCTGTGAGTTTAGTGTGCGAGTCCATGTGTGCATGAGCATGGTTACCAGCACAGTGAGTAACAGACCTCCTACTGTGTGCTTCTGCCCACTGAGTGCAGAGAAAAAAATGAGTAAATATGCAATAGAGAAGAGGAGAGAACGTGAATAAGATGGCAGGAGAAACCGCATCGATCACGACCGCCTGCTCCACAACCCACAGTGACTCCCTACAGCGCAGAGAGAATCTAGCCTCCCACAAACCAGCCATCATTCAAACATGCGCGACCAGTTTCACAGCTATGCCATGACTATCCCACATAAGAAGTTTGCTCACACTTTACAAATAGTACCGACACCAACCATGACCTCCACCTCCCTAAAGAAACTGCAGTTCTGCAGATGACCCTTCCTCTAATCCCCTCCTATTATAGGTGGCCAGCTTCTGCTCAGAGATGTTGTTAGATGCGGCACCGAATGATAAACCTATTGTGACTTTCCATATCTCCCAGTCTGACCATATGTTGCGGTCGAACAGATGGGTCAATACATGTTTCCTCACCCAGAGAGGGGGTGAGAGCTGGGGGTAGTGAAGGCCGGAAGAGGACGAGAGCGGGGGAGGGGCACGGATCTACAGTGTCAGATTAGACAAGTAGTGGTCCTCATACTTTCTGACACTACTACTATGTGACAGGACAAAACCAGCTGTACTGTATAGTGGGGCTCAGTCATGTTATACTGGTTGAGTAAAAATAGAAGAGAGTGTGAGCAGAGGTGATGTTTGATAGTGTAATGGTTTACAATCTGGACCGTAAATCCAGTTCAAATCTCAGTGGGAGTATATATTTGTATTTTAATCTCCCAGATCACCTCACATTTTCAACCATACCCATTATATATTTTTGTTACAGTTATAGTTTCGCATTTTGAGTGGGAAAAAAAGTCACACACCTCACAGTACTAACAGCTTAGCGTTTGAGGTTTTCAGTCTGACAAATAACTGCCACTGCAGTGTGTTGGTGTTAAATGTGTTATGTGCTGTTTCTGAATGTAACTGTAATGTAGCCAACAAAGGGCCAGTGCAGAGCTATTCAATAGTACAACTGAAAAATAACAAAAATAGCACAACAAACATGGCATTATTACAGTCTGATTACAGGAAAAAAAACACAGTGACATAAAGTAGCAATAAAAACACAAATAGTGTCCTTCATGATGTGAATATAGTGTGAAAAACAAATGAACAGCTTGACCTTGCAGCATGTGGTGAGTTAGTGATATTCGGTATGATTCAGGCCCTGGCATAGTCACTAGGTACATGTGTGACTGGGCTGTGTGTGCTTGAGTGTGAATGTCTGTACGTGTTTGCGTGTGTGTACAGTATAGTGCAGTACAGTACAGTGTGTGCAGTGCCGGGTGCAGGAATCTGTATGTGTATTATTTGTTGAGTTTGAGCCTTGAATCCTAGCTGTCCCAGTCAGGACCAGCCAGCCCGTCGTCATCTGAGTCAGACTCTGGTGAGGCCTCCTTGATGCGGCGCAGTGCTTCATGGATGCTCCTGGTCAGGGGGTCGGTGGAAGCCGGGAGTTCTCCCTGGTCCTTTCTCTCTTTCCTGGGTACGCGCCTCAGTTTGACCCCCTTGCGAATCTGAACCAGGATGCTGTTGGGGTCATCTTCACCCTTGGTAGGAGGCAGGGACCGCTGGTCGACCTTTCTCAGCTGGAAGCTGCCTCTCTTCAGGGAGGCTAGCACCTCGTCCATGGGTGAGCTCACTGCACATAGGAAGAAAGGAGGAAGATGAACTGTGATTGGCTACTGCTAGTGGCTAATCTAATAGAGCCTACTATGGTACCAATTGGTTCCAGTACCTCTTCTAGTGTGGGAGTCAAACTCTGGAGTCTTCCTCAACTTTTTCCGGGCGCTCACCAGTTGGCTGCTGTCAAAGAAGCGAGGGATGAATGGACCGAGTGGGGAAAGGGAGCGCACTTTTGCTGCACTCTTCCCCTCAACATTCTGCCCATGCCGACCTGGGCTCCCAGAAGGCGACAACTCCTCCTTTGTTGGCAAAGGTGGAGGGGGAGGTGGAGGAGGAGGGGAAATGGGGGATGCCAGTAGTGAGGACAGGGAGCAGGGAGAGCAGGAGGAGTCTGCAGGACTGGGCACAGGCAGCGGAGGAAGGGATGCTGTGAGGGCCGTGACGGGCTGAGTGGTGAGCGTGGAGCTGGGGCTGGGATCCGTCTGCACGCTGGTGCTGAGACACAGCGGCTGGCCCTGCGTCTGGACACAAACAGAGTCCACACGCTCCTCCCTCTCACTCACGCTACTCATTTCCATGCTCCTTCCGCGCTCTCTTCTTCTGGTGTAGGAAACACGTAGTCGAGTGGACTTCAGAATCACCTGACCTGGGTACCGCTAGACAAAGAAACAAACATAAGAAAAAATGACATGAAAAATGTTGAGATATTTACCTTAACAGGAAGACACATACCTGCTTGAAAGTGCGTAGTCTGTCCAAAGTTCTCTGTCTCTCCTGACTAACTCTGCTATTCTTCCTTTCCTCGTCTTCTTCTTCATTTTTCAGCTGAAAAAATATTGAGCTTTAGAGCAGAGAGTTGCTGACAACGCTTTACAGGTATACTACAGTCACATCATTATAAAAAAAAACATCTACCTGTAAGACCTGGTGGGATATGGAGTCCTTGTGGGTAGTTTGGCGTTTCTGCTGTTTCTGAGTGTGATTGAATACACAGATCTCCTGCAGAAAGGTGGGAGGAAAAAAACATCAACACGCGGTCAACACAGCATCAGTATAATGTTTTTGTGGGACATATTGACTCTTTTAATAGTAACATTACTTCTAGTAATAACTAATAATAATAGATCATTATATCTTACTAGCTATAATTTGAGTAATTTATATTTCTACTCATGTAATGTCAAGACAAATGCAAATGTGTTCAAATATAATTAAAGTGAAATATAGTACAAAATTCAAATTGCAATCCATATTTTTGGCAGTTTCTTGATGAAACATGTTTCTGGTATAGCAGAAGAGCTAAACAAAACACCGTTTCAAGGGTCACTTCTGCTAGGATATGAAGCTCAGTCGGACAAAGTGCAAAATACACACTCTACACAGTGAACAGTATACAGAATCCAGGATACACTTCGGGAATGAAAATAAGTGTGATTGTGAGTACACACCCTCTTGTTCCTCAGATAGGAGCGCTTGGCAGTGATGCGCCCCCTTCTTGCCTCTAGCTGTCGAGCGCTGACCCGAAGTCTGCGCAGCTCTTCCCTCTCTGCAGTATCATCCTCTGTTATATCATCTGCACTTTCAAAGGTGTCATAGTACACCACCTCATCCTGACGTTCTGAAAACATAGAAATATACAGATTTTTCATGTGTTTGACAGACACTTCACATGCAATGACCAATAATTCAGACTGTATTGTAGCAGCTTCATGCACAGCCAACAGTATAGAATAGTTTGCGAAATGCAGTGTCTTCTCAGGACTCTGAAAATGAGACAATGCATCTCAAGATGTTTATCTGGTAAGCAAGATTTGCCCAGACATAGCTTCTTCCACAATACCGGTCATCTGTCTGCGAATGCTCTCTAGTTGAGCGGTGAGGAGAAGCTCTTCACACTGTAGTATCTCTGCCTGGATGTCATACAGTTGGAGCTGGAGCTCATAGTACTGTGTCTCCATGTGGTCTAAGCGCGCCATGGCATCCTCACTGCTGCACAGACCCTGCATCTGAGGGGACGGGACAAAAAAACTAAGTCACAAAACAACTGCGTATGTGTTTCATATGGTGTTGAGTGTTGCTACCACACCTCCTCTCGAAGGGTGTGTTTCCTCTGCTCCAGACAGATCTCCCTAGCTCTCTGCAGCTGCAGAGTTTCCTTGGCGACAGAGTAGCGGAGTCTCTCCATGCGCTCCACCGCAGCTGTCCATGACGATTTACCAAACTTACGCTGGTCAACCTTCATACGCTCATACACCCCTATGCGCGCGCACACACACACACACACACACACACACACACACACACACACACACACACACACACACACACACACACACACACATCCAAACAAAAAGAAATGTACTGACGGAAACTTCCACACATTTAAAAGTGACGTGTATGAACGTGAAAGTGAGTCACTATCAAGTAACTTTCTCCTTTAGTACAGTGAGTGGGCATGTCACCCACAATTTCTTTTCTGTAAATGTCTTGACTTCACTCTCAGAGGAGTAAAGCTTTATTACAATAACGTAGACAGAGACATCTATTGGCCACACTTGGACATTACCACTTTCATTCCAGTTTGCACTTGAAGCTCACTTATTTGATTTTTGATCTAATAAGTGTCAGACAATAAATAGACCAATCTATGGTGGAGAAAAACTGGGATAAGCAGGGGCACTTTGTGCAGTAACCCTGCGCAGAGACAATCTGCTGGCAGAGGCATTTGATCAATAGGTTGTCCTTGTTTCTTCCTGTCCCTGTCAAGGCATGGCTGTCTGCACTGCCTCATTAATACCAAATCAAATTAGCCCTGGCGTTCAAAACCACACACAGGTCAATAGCAGGCCAAAGCTACCACTATATGTGTGTGTGTGTGTGCTGTGTGTGATTATTCAACGTCATTCCTCCACTGCTTTATTGACTTGACATTGGCAGTGACAGTGATGGAGTACTGTACCTTTCTGGGCTCTGGCAGTGATCTCAAAGTATTTTACAGTAAACTCCTGGATGTTGAGGACTGCCTCCTGAGCTTTCTTCTGCCAGTCAAAGTCCTCCTTTTTTAGAGCTTCAATCCGCCTTGGGCCCAAGTAGTCATTCTCCATGGAAATCTGTTGAGAGAGGATGAGCACATTTTTGTCAGCAAGATTAAGAACAATGACAAGCCTCAGTGAGGGAGTATGAAAAAGGAAAATGAAGTGAAATGAATGAATGAAAAACCTTGTGAAAAATGACGTCCAAAGGAATTTTTCATAAATTTAATAAAAAAGCTTTAAAATATGAACACCCTGGGGTACAGTATTTAGTACGCTGATATCAAAAATTTATCTTGAGACCATGGGATACAAATGGATTCATCTGCGGCAATAAAAAGGATTGGGGTATGGCAGTTCCTGTGTACACAGTACAGGCAATGCAGTGTCACTAATACCAAGCAGTTAGAGGCACATTCATAAAAAGTCTCATTTTAGAGTTGGTAGGAACCTCAAATGTTACACATTACTGCCACTTAGTGGCAAAAGTAAATGGGCTGACCAAAGAAGTAGGAAAAAGCACAGTGAAAGCACAATGTTTTCCCTAATTATACTGAGGAGTCATTAGGAAGGAGTATTCACAACAGTACAGTAAATCTCTTCTGCACGTCGCAGAGAAAGATTTTCTGACTTAATGCCATGTAATGACTGCATGCACTGAGGAACAGGATACGTTAGAAATGTGCACTCTATTGCAATAGTTTCACCACAGAAAGCAAGCCTGGAGAGGGAGCCACACCCCCACACATGGTAGCACTGACAATGTGCAGCCCATACAGGTTACCATGTCCACATTCAACCCCACATGTATCCATCTGTGCAAACCCCCCCAATGTTTTTTATACCAACCCATTTTCAACCAGCTTACAAAAGCATAACCACCATCTAGATAGAACATAGGGAATTAATATTGCAAATAATTGATATCTGTAAAATGCCTTCTGACATTTTATTTTATTCCTGAGGATATAAGGAAGAATGACGTAATTCTAATTTTACCATTCCTGTAAAACCTGCAATATTTCAGCAATACAAGCTTACTTATTCTTTTCATTAGTGCATTGTAGGACTATTTGAAGAGCGATAAAGCATTCTTATGTCTGTTAGCCACACACAGACAAAATTTACCCTGGTCACCAGATGTCCAAGAGAAAAACAAAAGGTGCCTATGCAGCACAAAGGAGGACAGTGAGCAGCAAAGGCTACAGAGCTACATCCTTGTCTTACCCTGAGTAACCTCGATCCACCTCAGCTCACACAGCACTACTCAGCAGTGCACCAGTATCATTTACAGCTGCAATTTCCTGCTGTCAAGTTGCCAGTGAGCATTGCTTTGATTTTGATGTTTTCTGCATTCTAATACATGTGTAATTTTAAACCGCATGGCTTTAAATCTAATGATTTGTGTTACTGTATATCTTAGGGGTGTGACCTTTCACATCTTTAGAAAACTCAATCTCAACTCAATCAGACTATCAACTGTCATTTAATGTATGACTTTGTTTCGCCCTTATGAATCCACAAGATTAGAGGCTACACGAAGATTAGAGGATATATTGAGGTTGGAACGACTAAAAAACTGGCTAGGCTGATGCTACTCTCTATCAACATGATAACTCATTGATACAGTAAGTGTGACTTGCACCTGGCAGAGGATAATCCTCTTTCTTCTGTCTTTGTATTCAATGTCCATCATAACTTGTCAGTTGAAAATCATTACATTTTTTATACAGTGACTGTTTTCCAGCTCACACATGACAATAGTTTTTTTCCCCCATAGCCTTTCCTCTCCCATATCACGTCATAAACTGACTTGTAGATTTCTTTGAAGAGAGTTTTGATATAATGAAACATACTACAGCTAGAAAACAGAAAAAAAACTCTGCATAAACATACACAATAAGTAGCTATGCCACTATGTGAACTGATGTTAATTATAACATTAAAACGCATGAATCTTTGGTGTTATATTTAGCACTCTGGACTAAACACATCCTGGGACTGATGCTACAAATTGAAAATGTGCAAACAAGGGGAGTTCTTATAGTGCAGTCACCCTAATATGTGAGGCACATAATGTACACTGACACTCTTCAAATTAAGGCCAGATTCTACTACTGATTTCCTTCCAGTCAGACGAGACCCACAAGTCGTCCAGTCACATGTTTTTGTTAACTTACTGACAAAATTAGAAAATTGATGTGAAATCTCAGTGAAAACTTTCTTTTGAAAGAAACAGTCTTTCAGATAATATGTAAAAGTAAAATGAGTAAAAGCTAAACATGCATTCTGTGAAAATATTATGAGGACAAACTGCCTAAATGTAAAACATTTCACTGAGGGGCAGCTAACATGCATGTGTTACAGCTGATAGTGTCTACAATCTGTTCTGTATCAACTTCCAATGTGTGACACAGTAAGGAGGTTAAGGGCAGATAGCAAAAGTTTGAGTTGATGTCAAATTATTTGATCACATTGGATTGTTTTAAAGACCCAAATAATGACAAATGATACAGAAATTGAAAGAAAAAAAAAGAAAAAATGACCAGAGAAAAGACAAATAATCCCCTCAAATTAGAACATACAGATGAAGAAGAGCTACAGAAAGCCATGCTGTGCCTGAGCTACTGACAATTTAGACCATGAATAAACCTGAAAGTGCAAGTTCAAAGTCTCCTCCCCCTCTTTGATGCTGATAGGAGGTTCCATGGTGTAATGGTTAGCACTCTGGACTCTGAATCCAGCGATCCGAGTTCAAATCTCGGTGGAACCTGAGAGCTTTCCATTTTTCATCCACCATTCTGGCAACAGCTGCAAGTCAACTTCGAGCTGTTTACTCATGTAGTGGGTCAAAGTTGGGAATAGTTTCCTGGTTTGTAAGGGGAAAGTGAGAATTACATACATTATGCAGGTTTCTCTGCAGCTTTCTGAACCATGGTAGTGAGTTTAGAATCTACATACTACTAACTCCACAGGACAGAAAGCATGTCTGAAATAAAGGACAGACTGGAGCATATTTTCAGTAAATTAGCTAAGAAATATGCATAACGATCAGTAGCTCTATACCTTATCACTGTGTCCTTTTTATTATCTAATCTAGGGGTGTGCCATATCATTTACATTGTATCCATTTAATTTTAATATGATAGCAAAAATGGCAATTTTCCGTCTTGTTGACATAATGACGTCAAACCATTACACACTGCAACAACAAGCATGGCTAAAAGCGAAAGTAACATTACGACCGTGGAGGAGTTATTTTTTCAAAAAGGGGAGCAACTTCAGTGGTGTGAAAGTGGTGTGCAACAAGCCACGGTACTATGTAAGAAGTACAAAAAGATTGTAACAACAAAAATGGGGCAATACAATGTAATTCAACACCTCAAGCAGAAGCACCAGGTTGAGTATGAGGACAGCTCAACCATTATAGTAAGTTCTAAATCATAAATATTTCTCAGTATTTTGTCATCAAAAATATTATTATCACAGAAAGACCCTGAAATATCGCCCACCCCAATCTCAGTTTAACAATAGATTGTGTTCAGTTATGTAAGCCAAATGTTATCATCTATTGGGAATTTGATTTTTCCCAGTCAGTTTGATTATAGTTCCCTGTGTCATTTGACTGACAACACAAACTTGTAATCCTGCATTTCAGATGTTAATGTATCCACATCCTTAAAACAGTTTTCATTACCAAAATAAGTGATAGAATTTGTCACAAATGATCTTAAATATGACAGATATTCTATAAAATACTTTAAGATGGAAACCAATTATTTCTCTCTGTTGTTTCAAAGACCTCACGAAGCTTAATAAAGGACTTAACACCTTGCTTACATCCCTGTCTTTAGCAGACACTGAAGGTTCTCACCTCCCCAGGGGAACTGGTATTGAGCTTGAACTGGTATTTATTCCTTTCCTTATCTCTTCCTATCATTCCATTTCTGCTGCATGCCTGCTGATCCCTGTGTGTCAGCGTCAACCTGTACCTGCAGTAAACCTATAGGACCACACACACACGACATGACTTATTCATGGCCCTGTCTGAGACTGCAGGAAATTGGAGATCCACGAGGCTCCATTTCAGCTCGTAGTATGTCACTCAACCCCCAACGGCTACATCCCACATGTGTTTAGATAATGTGGAAAAGGACAAAATTGGCAGGAAAGTGTTCCCATCCAAGGTTGGAGAGAGATATGTGTGTGTGTATGTATATATGAGTCTGTTTGCTTCTTTATCGACAGATGTTATGCAATAACGTGATGCTGAAGTCTTTTTATTACTGACGTGCTGTGTGTGAGTCAGGCAGCTAAATATAAACGTGCCATCAACGCTGCAATAATTGAACAAAGCCTTGCCACCATTTATCCATTCACCAGCCTCCATATTCTCTTTGTAATTAGATACATCTCACCACTTTCCCACTGCTTTACTAATGGCATATGAAATCTTATTACAATATACAAGATAATTCATTCACAGTCAGACATTCTCGTACACGCAGATGCAGACACACAGAGCCGACCCTATTTTAAGAGACATGAGAATTTCCTGAGACCATCCTTTGTGTTGTTTGACTTTTCCATGTCGGTGCCTGTAGAGAAATACAGAAATACATCACTGAATCGAGGCCCATCTGCAAAATAGCCAGCTTCCCATGTATGTTAGTTAAGCACAGCATCTAAATAACCCTCTGAAGTTAGAAAAAATGGTTCACATGGTCAGTGATAATAGCGTCAAACTACCAGAAACAACACCAGAGCCACAAATATTTCAGTTATATTTGGCATTATTCCCCTGGATGAATGTCATCAGTACTATAAATCATTGTTTCAATACTGAAATCAGCTGGCCATCTGTGTGTGTGTGTGTGTGTGTGTGACTGAAAAGTTGGCATGGGAGAATGCCAAAGAGGTTTTGGCAATTTACTGGGTCAACGGATTTGGGTCCAAAATCTGTAAGAACCTAGTTTTTATGAGATAAATCCCCTCATAATATGGAAGATGCCTCACTGTCTTCTCTGGAGCGGCCTCTAAACGCACATGAACATACACTTAAACTATTACCTTGATCTGCTGTCTGCGCAGCATTGCTAGTTCCCTCATGTCTCTGAAGGGCTGCAGCAGGTACTGGTACAGCTGTGTGGACGCCTCCAGCAGGCCTCCATAGGCCTGATCTTCCTCCTCATATAGCTCCAGCAGCTCCACCATACTGTCCATGATCTTGTGCTTCTCCAGCAGCTGTATCACATGCACACACAGTAAAGTTAATGTTATCACTGTCAGCATACAAACAACTTTCAGAATATCAGAACAGATACATATTTATAGCAGCTTTTAAACATTCTGTAAGACCTTCTTAATGAGGCATTTGCATTTATTCATGTCATATGTAGTGGAGAAAGTCTTCCAAAGATGTTTAAACAAACAAAAAACATTAAGACAGTTGGAAGCACCTTTAATGAAAAAATATATAAATTTATTGTGTATGTGTCTGTTATGCACAAATCAGAAAGAGCCGAAGGCAAACATGTTGTAAGTGTAATTCTGCAGATGTAATGTAACACATGTTTCCAATTGTCTGTTATCTGACAGTGTGATAAGAACGTACTTAAATACATATTTTAGTGTCACTCAGCAGTGAATGTAAACTTGCACCTCACTGTGACACTAGGGATGCTTTGTGTAACTGTAAATACCCGGACTATTTCTGAGTGCAGTCTCAGTGCATAGACCATAGCTGATTGAGCAGAGTCCTTTTTGCTGCTGGGAATAAGATCAATAGACACACATATTTGCCAGACTGAACAATCCTGTAGGCTACCAGCAAGCACTGAAATAGCCATTAACTCAGCCCTCAAATGGAGAGGGAGGATCAATAGGCCAGTGTGTGTGTGTGTGTGTGTGTGTGCGTCTATATGACTATGATACTACGCCACAACAAACTGTGACTGTGTTTGAATGAAATACCGAGCATTTGCCATGATAAAGAGCTTAATAAGGTCAGTAGCTCTTACTTCATCATCAGGATGAATACACCTTCAAACAAACTGGAATTCCAGAGTAGTGTTTATAGCTTGGGATGGTCAGTGCACATTCTGTGAGACTGTTTGATATGTTTTGCTCAGGAAGGGCATAAGGCAAAGCTTCCTGTGTCTGGTTTTCTGTCTTTTTCATTCTGAGTGTGTGTGTGTGTGATCTCTTGACTTACTTTTGCAAAGACACAAAACATAAAAGCAAGATGCAAAATGTGTTATACTGTGACACTGCTGTGCAGTTGGAGTCATGAACAGTGTAACTTATATAAAATAATAATAATAACTTTATATCATGATGTAAAAAAACGATATAAACCTACCATTCAGACTTCAAATCTTCTTTCATTTTATTGTTTATGGGTTTTTTAAATTACATGAAGTTATGAGTTCATGCAGGATGTCAGAATGTAGCACTCACAATCAATATGTGTGCATTAGAGAATTGACAAAAATAGCGTTTTCCTGGTCAAATCTAGATGAATTTGAAAGATATTTATTCCATAAACACAGGTAACACTCAAACACTAAACACTGTAACGGTCAGGAGCAATGCTGATAATGACACACTCTTTCTTTCATGCTCTCTCTTGACAGTCTGGCTCCATAAGTCAAGCCTGCATTAGTCTAACACAGTTGATTAATAGGACAATGGGAGAGCCATCAATGTAATGTCTGTTTATATTAAGAGTTGTTAATCAATCACTGGCTGCTGCTGGTGCGTAAGAGGAGCAGGCCTGGAGCGGATACGATGTCTGGATTATGTCTCCACTGCGTCAACTTAAAGATAAAAATCAGAACTGTTGGTCATTTTAACTTTGGTGCTAGTGTTTAATGATATTATGTGTACAGAAATGTTTATTAATATTATAGCTTCAAGACATCTATAACTATATCTATTTATAAAAATGCATGCAGAACTCGTATTCACTACCACACATCAGTCATACATAAATGTTCTGCATGATAATTACAAAACTGATTTGGAGCCATGAAATTCTATTTTGTACGGTAGTTTTAATCATATCTATGGTTTTAGCCACATTTACTGAAAAATCAATCAATAAATAAACATGCTCTTTTCAATTAAAAACATTACAGTAATAACAAATATATAATTTGTCAAATAAAACATTGTCTGTTTCTACATTTTCTGCTACATGTTCTTACCACAACAGTATAATAAGAACAAAGAGAAAGAAATGTGATATCATCTGATGTTATAGTAAGTGACTCATTATTGTGTTACTCAGGTCTCTATAATGACCAAGAAAGTATTACCACTAAAATGGTGATAGTCTGATTATTAAGGGTTCAGCAACTAAATGTTGATAATAGGTTAAGTCATGGTAGCAACCAGGCCTGTTTGGGTCTCAAACACTGCGTGGGAGAGAGTCTTGGACAGTTCCATAGAAAAGCTCAGGGGAGCAGCTATGCGTTGCTCTTTAAACGGAGAAGGGGAGGTTAACCATATATAGATTTGCCTAAACAACAATTTAGTCTTCATGCGTAATGTCTTGTCTATTATAAAAAAAATAAAAAGTGACTCTCAGCGGTGTCAGCAGCAGACAGCAGCCATGCTGAGAGTATAAAATCCCACAGAGGACGTTACAACCTAATTTTACAAATTCTTCTGTCTCTTAATAGCTAACCAGTAGGATGGGTCTCTCCAACGTATTCTCACAATACTTCTGTCATAGGAATGAAAGAATGATGGAAACGCTCTCAGTTCCCAGTCAGCTGTCTCATCAGTGTGCAACTGGTAAAAGACAAGTCTGTAGATTTTTGTCTCGGATGTGCTTATGGGGGTTAGATTGTGGTATACCTTATTTCATATGGGACACCTCTGGTGGCCCCAGTTCTTTTCATGCTTTAGGTACTTACATTAGGAAATAAGTTAGCTTTTATTGTTTGGGTTACCTCATGAAAGTCCACATGCTGATCTTACCTTAGATGGCACACATATACAAACAACTTAACATACACTAAGGCCAATGAAACCTCCATGCAGTTTCCAGACTGGACAGCCACTGCTTTTTATAACTGATTATGTGATATCTATACTGGATGGTCCACATTCCAGTAGCAACAATTAATCAATTAGTCGTCAACTATTAAATTAATTAGCAACTATTTTGATAGTCGATTAATTGTTCAAGTATTTTTCTAAGAAAAAAAAAGTCAAAATTCTCTGATTCCAGCTTCTTATGTGTGAATATTTTCTGGTTTCTTTGCTATGGCAGTAAACTGAAATATTCGTGTTTTTGACCAAACAAGACATTTGAGACCAAAGGACTAATCGGTTAATTGAGATAATAATCGACAGAGTAATGACAATGAAAATAGCCTAATCGTTAGTTGCAGCCCTAGTCCACATATACACTCAGTCTACACTCACAGAAAACCTGTAATTTTTTAGTCTAAGATTAATCCTCATATTAAAATTTCCCCAAATACGAAAATACACATTTAAAGTGATGCTTAATATAGGCTATACTTTTTTTGTGGCTGTGTACCTTATGAACATCATCAACACATTATCATATTTCTGTTGACCTCTTCTGTGCACTGTATTATTTTATACTTAATTGGATGTAGTCTATTATGTAGGCCTATTAAATAGGCTATCTGTCTACCTCCCTCAGATTAATGGCGTCACACTTTCTCACTGTTTTTGGTAGTGCACAGCCTCAAGCAATGCAGTCGGTCTGGTCAGTACAGCAGAAAGACTGAGGTCTCACAGTACCCCAGATGTGCAGCTGTGTGAATGTGAGAAAGATATAGTTATGGAGATACAATGGAAAGATCACAAAAACTCTCACCTCCTGCAGATGTTTTGTTGCACGGTTGAGCGCCTCTTCGTACCCGGACTGCCTCAGCTCGCTCAGGCTCTCATAGTACTCGTCTGGGTCGTCGTTTTCCGTGAACACAACCTGCGAAAGGATCTTCCACCCACACGTATCGAGCGCATGGCCTAGGTACACCTGTAAACTGTAGCAAAGCTCATCCATTTCTGTCTCGCATACTTCCGTCGGCCCGAATAGCACCGTCCACATCCCGGCTGGTTCCTCCGGAAAGACCGGGAGGCAGGGCTCCAGGTCCGAGTTCACCGAGCACAGCTGCTGGTGGATCGCCCGGAGGTCCTGGAAGGAGAACAGTCCGGCCCAGCTGCAGTCATCCCTGCTCAGACTATCCAGTTCCTCCAGGTCCAAGCTGTCCAGAGAGGGGGTCAGTTGGTCCCCTCTTAGTGATTTTAACCCTTCAGTGTCAGGACTAGCGGGGGATGCTGCAGTTTTAATCACAGCTTTGATAGGACTTGGTTTTGTTGCTATCCCAGACTTAGTTTTAGAACTGTAGCCTTTAACCACAGCCTCCCTGGTTGCTTTGCTGGGGCTCCTACATACTTTATCCCTGACGGGACTCTCGGGCCATTTTGTTTTGTCCCCTTCCTGGCTGGTCGCCTCCACCGGAGCGTCCCTACCAAAGCTTCTCCTCTGCACCGTCCTGTTATGACACGTTATGGCAAATTTATCCTCCACTTCATTCCAGGCGACGATAAAAACGAATTTATGCTTTTCTTTCTCCTCAAACGCATTCGGGCGAACAGCCACCCACCCCGACTCCAAATTATCCTCCATTGTGAAGGACATTTCTGCAAAGTGATGGAACAACAATAATAACGCTGTGCGAGCCAGCAAGACCTGCGTTGGTCCTGTTTAAGAGTCAGATGTAGTAAATGTTAAAACAACGTTTACCACACAGTGTTTTCTCTGAGGATATTTCGCCTGAAGGGGCTATCCTCCTTCGCTCAAGCGGATGAATTTGGAGCAGCGCGGTGCCATTTCCCACCTCTGGCCCACCTGTCTTCAGCTCAGACTGACTAACCTCCCGCAACAGTTAGCTTTCAGACCACACGAGACCCGACCGTGACACATAACATGCGACCGTGTGTTTACCAGGTCCAGCGGTCGATCCGCCTGTCAGCTGTGATCCGTTATCCTCGATCTCTCGGCTCCAGACCTCCCTTCTCATCATAAAGTGCCAGCGGGATCCAAAAACAGTGGCGTGCATCGTTCAAAGACAGCAGGCCGACGCCATGAATAACTCTGACAAGGGGTTTTGTCCAGTCGCACCGTCTCCAGAAAGGTTAGCATCGTCCCCAAACTCGTAACATCACCATGTTTTCTTCATCCTTCGTCCTGCAGACCACATAAGCAAAATAATGATGCTCGCTTCAAGTGCTATGAGAAATATTGGAATTCATGGAAGCGGCTGTACCGACCAAGCAAAAGTATTTGTGCGACCTTTTTTAAAATTCTTATCAACATTTACCATTGTGTTGCTATAGTCCTAATCAGTTTAATAAGACTTTTTATTACTGTCTGAATGGAAAATAGGTCTGAATTAAGATGCAGTCTTGCGAAATACTGCGAAGAGCAGAGATTGTTCTGGTGGTTGGTTAAAAACACATTCGTCCGAGGAGCATCACAAGGCAACATGAGAATCTCAACTTGACTAGGGCACGTAGGGACGTGCTGACGTTGAAGTTCAGTGTGAGATGGTTTGCAGAGTAGCTGCAAGCGTGGAGGACAATATATGTGGACAAAAAAAGCTTTAAAAATCAGATTAATTAAATGCATGAATTAATCAATACAGTATTTCAACGAGACTATATTTGCACCGCAGTAGCCGCACTGCAAGTGGTTCGTGAATTATTCTAATTTAGGAATAAAGAGACGTATTTTTTGCCTATGATGTGATGATGCTAGTTTATGTGCTTTCAGCTGATACAAGACTGCAATCATGAAATGAACAATTTTAACAGTGTAACAGTCAGTGTTAAGATCAGTGCATTGTAAGATGTAGTCCAAAAAACAACTAGGTAATCCTGAAATAATTTAGACAAAGGCTGTACAAATGTGGCATTGAAACTGTAAAGTATCCACAGAAAGATGCTCCAGGCCATCTGTTTGAGTAGCTGTGGGAGAGAGCTGTTGAGTTCTCCTTGTTTACACATAGCCTATTGGCTGGACTGTTTCAGAGGACAGGAATGGAAAATAATATTCCCCTTTAATGGTCACAGACCTGAGGCAGGGTTCATCACTTCTAATGATGCTAAAGGAAATGCTTAACATGTTCCAACAGAGTTTGCTTCAGCTTTGATGAGTCTCATTGCACTAGTGACTTGTGCTACAGTAGGTTTGTATTCTTAAATAGATCCCTGTGTCACTATCACACTCAATAGTTTTTTTCACATTCAAAATGTCTTTATCAAATCTGGCTAGGAATTCAAAGAGCAAAGACAGGTGTTTCGGGATGGAGATAGACTGCAGCAATGTTGAGGAGTCAAGAAGCGGTTTACAAATACCTCACCCAAAGCCTAAAGTACAGACATGCATTAATTCAGACCTATCTACTAATTGCCAGCTCAAATAGGTGGTACTAGTAACGGCTGCTGTGGTGCAAACTGTAGAGCAGCGCGCACCAGAGTTTCTGCTTCTGTATGCTGGTTTGAGAGTTTGGACAGTCTCCGATCCACAGCAACCATGTCTGGCTCAGGTCCTAGTCATCTTTTATCTGTACTGCTTGAAAAAGATGGATACATCTAAGCATCCATAAATCCATGTTTGTCTTTACTACTGATATTTCAGGTTTACATGTAGACTACCTTTAGGCTGCAGCCCACATGGCTGATGTGCAGGGACAACAGCACGGGCAGGTAGATTAAATTTCTTTAATATGTAATAATAAATGGCATAATCGCCAATTAAGGACGCATGTCTTAAGAATAACACACTGCAAATTAAAGTGACTGACATTTACAAAGATTTCATTGATATATTCCATACAGGGCACGTGTGAACCCACGGTTCCATGGTGTAATGGTTAGCACTCTGGACTTTGAATCCAGCGATCCGAGTTCAAATCTCGGTGGAACCTCACGCTTTTGAGAGGGAAACACTATCTTCACTGTGAATATGTGTAGAGCTGTAAGTACCCACGGCGTTAAAAAGAGGCATATGAATACAACAAACATAAATATGAAGACTTACATTAGGTGAAAATGTTTCATTTAGTACTTTAGGTAGGTATATTTGTTTTGTCAGAATATTACAGGTTATAGAGTGAAATTTAGTCATTTATCCATGTATGTTACTCTGTTTGGAGTGTGCAGAATGCAGGTTTGCCTCGCTTGGTAAAGACAAATATATCCATGTTTTGGATAGGGTAATTGTCGTTTCTGTGGGCAGATAAAGAGTGTTTAAATATTGTTTTTAGCACAATCTCCATCCTCCTCCTCATACTACGTCTGTCACTGTTAAATCGCATTGAATTTCTAGCTATGACCATGCAGTCCATGGCTATAACCCATACAAACAGAACAAAGCTTTTTAAAAACAAAATCTCCGAGTCACTCGTTTTGTAATATATATAATATAATTCTGGCTTTGGTCTGTTTTTCTTTGGGGGGGAGGAGGGCTTTGTGTGCCGTACATTGTAGTTTAACTTCTCATCGCTTTGTGTTGATTATGAAGAATACAGAATAAGCGTAAGCACGCGGAAGTCCTCGGGTCAACGGAACAGCTGGGAGGTGTCTCACGTGTGGATGGTTCCATGGTGTAATGGTTAGCACTCTGGACTCTGAATCCAGCGATCCGAGTTCAAATCTCGGTGGAACCTGAAAGTTTTTCCACGTTTCCTCCTCCTGCGGCTAAACATTTGCAATCAGTTAGTTCGTGAAAAACAGCTGAGCGGTAAAGTAATTTAAGGTGAATGCACACACATCTGACTGTCAACTTGGACGTATCACTCATGTAGTTCATCAACGTTTGTAATTCTTTCCTGGTTTGTAAGATGAATTTGAGATTTTACATGCAGTGTGCAGGTTTTCTCTCTACATCTTTCTGTACCATGAAGTGAGTCTAGAATCTAAATACTACTAACTCCACAGGAGAGAAGGATGTCTGAAATAAAGGATAGACTAGAGCATATTTTCTGTAAATAAGTTAAAAGGCAGTAAAAATCAAGTAGCTACATATTTTATCACCATGTCCTTTTTAATTGTCTCATCTAGGGGTGTGCCATATGTCCTCAGTTCAGTTTTTCAACCGAACAGCTGGGAGGTCCACGTGGGATGTGTGGTTCCATGGTGTAATGGTTAGCACTCTGGACTCTGAATCCAGCGATCCGAGTTCAAATCTCGGTGGGACCTGGTTTTTAAATACTTCATATGCTCTATAGACGTGTTCTGACCACGTATGTTACCGTATCGCAAAGCAGATAGCAGAGTCGTTCGAGTTCAGGGGTAACTTTAACGTATTCTGACAGACTAATAATGACTAATATCCCCTATCAATCAGGGGCAGCGTATTCTGATAGACTAATAATGTTTTTCTTTATATTGCTGACGATCAGCAGCTGTCCCGACGGCACGCCCAACAGCAAGGTTGCACAGATTTATGGGGGTGGAAACGGACCGCGCTTGTGGGTCATACGCATCCGCAGAACCGCATGGTTGGTCTGAAAGCACAGTAAGTAGCACATCTCGATAGGTAGCATAAACCGTGGTTGGAAGATGGTCACAGGTGTCAGTAAACTCAGCTCCTACTGTTGGTGAGTAAAAACGGTGAGTAACATTACAATGATAACCTGCATTTTAAAATGTAATTCAAAGTTAAATACTTTCTTTATTTCACTGCAGGTCCATCAACCAGCTCATGTCATGTCACCCAAGAAGCTGACACTGCTGGTAAGTTATGCGTTTTAGTTAAACCTGTAGAGATGCACTGTCCTTTGCTTTTAAATCAGATCATGTCATGTGGGGAGTGTGTAGTAGCAGTTTTAAAGTACTGATTCTGGAGCAACATTATGGAGCCTCCTTCAAAGTTGCTAGTGTTGAAAAGACTAAAGTCACTTCTTAAAAGGAGCTAAGCTAAGAACACAAGTAATTTCCATTCAGTCAATTTATTTTATATTTCATATAAATATTATTTTATTTCATAGGAGGTCCAACTTCCATCATTGGTGTCATCCAAGACGCTGACAACACTGGTAAGTTTAGGCCTACATCAACAATGAATGAACAATTATTCAGGAACACCCAACGTATGAACAAGTCAACTTACTTAAATTACTTATTTTATGTGTTAATCTTCCTCGTAGGTCTACATGTGCCTAATGAAGTGGAGACTAGTAACATCATGCTTACTACCACACCTGTCTCTCCAGTTTCTACTCCTCCAGTGGATCCAGCTGACTGGCCATCAGTGCTTAATAACCAGTTACACGTTGATGTGGTGAGCAGGGGACCAGCACAGGTTGACAGAGACTTCACATTTCCAAAAAGACAAGATAGACAAGACAAGTCTTCTCTATCATTACATGTTTCATAAAGCACTGATTGACATATTCAAAGAAAAGTGATGCTGTTAACTGTTTGGTAGTTTTGTTTCTTAAACTCTTGTTTGGCTGTTATTAAAGATAATCACTTTATCAGTTTTTTTATTCATCACAAAGTTAATCAGTGTCTACCGGGGCTTACACTGCCATTAAGCTGAGTAACACTGTTGGTATATTTTTATAGTATATATAATAGTATCGAGTATAGTCTTGTTTTTTTTTTTTTTCATCAGAATCAGCTTCATTGCCAAGTAGGTTTAAGACATTTGCTTTGGTGATTTAGTGCTGCACAATAAACATGGCAGGTTTAAGAATATAAGAAAGTTTTGTCAGGTCTTATTTAAAAAGAAGAGATGTTGTTTCTGTGCCTTATATTGTGAAAAAGCACGACAGTCAGAGGGGCCTCCAACAAAATTTTGTTTAGGGCCCCCGAAGGTCCGTGGCCGGCTCTGTGAGTAATGTTGAAACACTCATTTAGCATCTGAATTCCTCATCTCACATGTAATCAGAAAAAAAATTGGTTACAATACTCAAACATCATCAATAAACAGGCCAACATGTAAAACGTGTGCTCTATTGCCAATATAATTTATTGTATTGTTTTGCATTTCTTACTTCTTGTGGATTTTCAGGCTTTGACTTGGACGAAAAACCATAGCACTGAAAATTAGAAAGCCATTTCACTTTATTCTGTTATGCTAAGATAAATTTAAGACTTAAATTTAAGATTAATTTAGCACTGAGCAAACTGTAGCCTATTAAAAGTCTGACAAATGTCCACAGTGAAGTTATGCGGTGTCTGTTTGATTGATCAATGAACTGCTCTTAGGAATGCTGCCTTTAACATTCAGGTTTGGACAATTTAGTTAAAAGAGATGACAGCGTTCAAAATTCATACAACAGTTAGGACAAGGCAGATATGCACTGGCCTGTGCAAAAGTAATGTTTCTCATATCCTTCTCTTCTTGCACTCCGTCGCTGACAACGCCTCTGTCCGACTCCTTCTGCATACACAGCGAGACTTGCGTCATAGGAACTGAATTTGCATCTCATTGAAATGAGCATGATAGTTTCACAAATGTATTTTTTCATAGATGCAGAATACCACTACTTACAGTTTGGAAATGACCAGAATTAGCAATTTCCAAACAAAATGATTGGACACACTCATAATACATAATTAATCACACTGTCAGCCTCGAAAACAATGGCACAACTTGACAAGAAGAAGCTTCAGGACCATAGACTGTATATTCAGGACTCATTTATTTTTTCCCACGTAAACAAGCCTTCACTTCTGCCTGTTGGCCTGCAGGTGGCGCTGCACCATTTGGTGGGAGTGGAAATGTGACGTCACTTCCTGGCGGGGTATCTCAACTGAAAACGGATATAAACAAAACGAGTGACCGATTTAATGCGTTTATTCCTTTTTATATACAGTCTGTGGTTTATTCATAAGTTTGTAACAAGGCTTCGTATGTGACAGCCGCTTTTGTGAAGGTATTATTAAATATTATTAAGTTTTAATTTAGAGTCCGAGTAAGCGATTGACGTAACGTTGGTAAACATAAACCGTCAGAGAAAAGGAGGTATTTTCTGAGAATAACGTAAAGTTACTACCGCTTCATGTGTTTAGGTTTGACCTACCGGCAACGTTAACCTCAATTAAACAAGGTAAGATATTTTATTCATCCTCTGTTCGCTTTAACGTTAATGTGTGGAACCTGCTGAAGGTGCCCACTAACTTTATATCGAAATTAAACTGCTCAACTGAAACAATTCCCGGAGGACTCTTTCATAATATGATCATGGTATAAATTGTAAATTATTACTGTGGATTAATTTACCCAACAGTTTGTAAAGGTGATAAAATTAGCTCCACCTCATCCAGCTACAAATGTCAATAAGTCTATATTGTTTTGTTCATAGTGTGTATATTAGTGTTGTCTATTCTGTAGTTTGTGTCTGATTTTATTTTATTATTATTAATTTATTATTGTGTTATGGTATTATTGTAAGTACATCGTGAGCAATCCTGAGTCAAATTCCTCGTATGTGTACACATACCTTGCAATAAAGCTGATTCTGATTCTGATGTAACGTTAACTGGCTGCCTGTGTGTTAATGCATGTGTGTATATATAATCCTATAATAACGTAACACTAACAGGGACCATTACTTTGCATAAAAAATACTATTTAACTTTATTTAACTTTTGATGTATTACATACACTTTGCTGATCAAAGCAATATGCTATTATAAAGTACAACGCTACTATAAATGAGTAAAAACAGTTGCCTTTCATATATACTAGTTCATTTCTTTATGGCAATTGTATTTCCACTTTTCAGATTAACCTTGTAGTTAGTCAGATTCACCTTAATCTGTTTTCATTTCATATTCTGTGTCATTTTCCTTCATGTTTTTACTTGGATATTAGTTAATGCATTAGCAAATTCAGTAGCACGGGAGAAGTTGTCAATTTTTTGGGTCAACACAATACTAAATTGGTCCTGTGGTTATGCTCCTTGGATCAAAACCAGGCGATCTGGCGTTGATTCATCCCTCCCAGCACCTTTTAGTGTTTTGTGATGGAATCATCTGACAACATGGGGAACTTCAACCACATGGTGGAGGCTGTGGCACTGAATGATGTTCCTGCTCCTGACTGCTCCACTGGACAGAAGGATACCTCCCCGGCAGACATGCTGAGGTTTTTCTGCAAATCTGCTTTAACACTTCTATAATTATTCAGTTTACAATGGCTGATTGCTCGTTTATTTGATGACACTCCCCAACACCAACGTTTAAGACTCATTTCATCCAATGAAAGCACTTTACATCTTGTCATAAGACAATGAATAGAATATTTATTATTGCTGAAGTTACTGTCTTTTCAGAATAAAACAGCAGATGTCCAACCAGTGCTTTGAGATGGCAGTACAGCTCCACGCAGGTATATCATTATGTACATTATTTCCAGCATATTGTATTTTCCTTAAGTACACAAACAAAGAATTAATCTCACGTTTCCTGTAACAGGAAAAAGTAAGAGATCATGCAGTATATCTGAAGCTGAGAGAGACTTGTGAGTATTTGAAATTAGCCTCTTGATGTGGATCCAGAATATAAACCAAACGTAAGGTTAGAGTTCAATTCAAAATTTACACTGTTAACCAACATTTTTCATTAAATGTTGCAGGCCAGATTACGTTGATGAGCTGGAAAAAGTCAAGACAATTCATTTTAACAGCACATTGGCACTGCACAGGTAAGGCATGGATTTTTGTATATAGAAGTATAAATAATACAGAAGCAGTGAACATTTGGTTAACCTTTCATCAACATATCTTTTGATTTTTCTGGTGTGTTTCAGAATGCAGATGTGGCACGCTATTGGAGAAAAACTGAAACAGAATGATTCAGAGGCAGAGTGAGTCAATTCAAAACATTTTGAAACAACTGACATTTATATAGGTGATTTTGATGATTGTGTCATATACTTGTGTTTTTCTCAGTGCCCTGAAAGCTGTCAGTGATCGCTGCATGACTCTTTGTTCACGCATAAAACAACTTCAGCAAGTAAGCAGCCTTATTATTCACTGTGTGTATGTAATGTTTACATATGTATAAAATTGTTTTATGATTTTGCCTTGAAATCAGATAAAATGGCACTGTGTGCTTTGTGTATGTTTAGCTGCTGTCTGTGGATGCCAAATCAGATGCCAAATTTGTTGTTAGGCTAGTGAAAAAATTTCTCATAGCAGATAAACATGTTTCTGCAAGCCAGAGAATTATGTTTGGTCCAGCAGGTGTGTGGTGTCCAATTACCCCTGTAGGCCCCGGACTTATTTAGATAAAGCAATGTTTTGCTTTGGTAAAATAATTTTACTAGGTCCTAAGTGCCACGACCAACCATCAGCACCAACTGGTTTCCCTGAAAAACTCAATGACATAACCCACTTGCCACTGTTGATGCAGTGTGTGGTACTATATAATCAGTCATAATAATATCACCTTGTTCTTGGTGACCTGTTGACTATAAATGTGTTTACAGTTGTTGATCAGATTTGAGAGGAGGAATTGAATTGAAAGATAGTGTTGTGTGAAATTGAGATAATTACTTCCGGATTCCCTTATGTTGGGTTAACAGGAGACAAGAGATCTTCAAGATGACATCACAGAAATACAGAAGAAGAGGCTTGGTATGTTTTACAATGAAAAAGTATATTTAGACTGTGATTTAGTTTTTCCACAGTACAGTTTTTTTTTGTTGTTGTTGTGTTTGTTTGTTTTTTTGACAAATTGCTTTTCGGTTTGTGTAGAGATGAAGCGGCTCACGCATGAGAAAATGAAAGAGATGGAAGACTTGATGTCCAAGAAAGAGCACCCAGATATAGAGAAGTACAAAGCTGCGTTGGAGAAAGGCCAGGCGAACCTGGAGAAGTATAAAAAGATGGCCATCATGACACAGAACGTACTCAGGGTAAATTGTGCGGGAATTGTGTGAAAGAAAATACATTGTCTGTTAGTAAGATTTTTGGAAATGGGTAATGCATATTAGCAGCTGGTGCGTTAATGTAAGTGTTTCCTTTCAGGGCATCCTCTTGGCCTGTAAAGTCAACTGGCTGGATGATCCCAAACTTCGAGACATCGCCATGACACTGGAGGAATTTCCCATCTCTGACTAGAGCATGAATCGATTTATGTCATCTGTATATATTTTCTGTATTGTACCGTCTAATAAATAATCATCAAAACTGTTAAAACCAAGTATTGTGATTTATTTGTTAAAGCAGTGTAGAGCAGCTGCCACTAGGGGGCGACACAGGAGGAAATGTTGTGAAGCTACTGCACAGCTTGTCAGTGAAGAAGAAAGCTGGTTTACACGTGTTTACCGACACCAGAAAGATAGGTTTTGAATAATTGTTTCAAATTTAAGTTTTTTGGATCTGGATTGAAATAAAACCAAACAAAAATGCCGAAGGTCAAGGCGGAGAAGAAAAGCAGGCAGCACCAAGAGGTCAAAAACCAAGGTACGTTTTGTTCAAGGGAGGAGAAAACGTTAGCATGATGGCAAACACCACTGTCAGCTGCTGGAAGAAAATGGATTTTAAAGTCTAAGTCCGTCGTTACACCGCAACAACACATCGAGCAGCTTTCTAAAGACCACCTATTAATGAGAATTGTAGTTGGCACGTATGTCGCCTACATGAAATATTTGTTTACGTAAGCCAGTAACGCTCGTGATTAAGACTGACGCCTCTACAGCCTTAAAACCACTGAAATCGTTATACAATATATATAATACAATGCCATATTCTAAAGAAGTACAATCTGCATAGCTGGGAAAACCCATAGACTGTATATAAAATGGGAATACCTCATCAAATACAAAAATGTCTGCTTAGTTTATAAGATTATCCACAGCTTAGCTCCCCTTTCCCTGTCTTGCCTCATCAACTGCAAATCAACAGAGTTACTAGAGGTGCAGCTAGAAGGGGCTGCAGTAGTACCACTATCAATAAAGATAGTCCCTGTCCTATTGCTCATGTTTAGGGTAAGGTTAAGAAATGGCTTATTGAAAACCAACAATGTTAATACTGATTGAACGTCGTCACTCCTCAATCCTCAGAAAGTTCATCAGCAAAATTCACAATTTTAAAGCACGTATGTCAGTATTTATGATCAGTGGTGAATAAGTATGGTTGATCAGCATACTTGCCAACCTCCAGACATCATAGCTGAAATTAAGTCATTTAATAGCTCCTGTGTTTCAGCAAGTTTTGTTCAAAACTTATTATATATATTAGTAATATTACGAGAATAAAGTCATATTTTAGAAAAATCTCGACACACTGCAGTTCAAACTTTTTACAAGTCGAAATAGTAAACGTGTTCATATGACTCCAGGCAACCTTTTTATTATGACCCTAATACTCCTTTTAGTTAGTCTACAATTCTCTTGCTAATTTGCTGCTGCCTGATTTTTTGTGTTTGACTGTACCAAATACTTTGACTAGACACTGACGGACATTACATTACATTTTCAAAATTATTTCTAGGGACAATTCAGTAGTTGCTGGACATTGGTAGGGCTATTTCTCTATTTTAGTTTACTTTCTGACAGAAATGTAGTAAATATATATCAGATGTATATAAACATGCAGTGTAAGGTCTTACTCTCTGCATGTTTAACCCAGAACTCTACTGAACATCACAGTTTGCGCCTCAACTCCTCTCTTCAGCCACACTATCTTTTACCGTCTCACATAACTCAATAAATACATGGCCTTTTACTACCTTTTTAAAAATATAAAAATTAAAAAAATATTGTATAGCCTCCAAGCTGAAGTTTTAGATGTTCAGATGGTAAAAGACATCAATTAATCAATAATAGAAGTTAAAAAAAAAACAACTAAATGGCCAAAAGGCTTCAAAACAGTCGTCCACAAACCAATGGGTGATGACATAGTGGCTACGTCCACTTCTTTTATACAGTCTATGATGTAGTCGCCGTGACATCACTCATGGGTTTCCAAAGAGCCGTTGACGCTCAGGCTGCGTTTCATTAGTCGTTCAACATGATCACATTGACTTCCCCGCCGCCATCTGAAGTGCTGTTTCATTTGTCTGTGAAACTGAAGTGAACTTGGTGAGATCAACAACGATGGTCACCCCAGAGGTGTATTTCACCCACAATACAAGAAAATACATCCATGGTTAGGTGTCAGTTATGTTGTAGGCTACATAAAACTCCTGTTGCGTAGTTAGCATTTAGTTTCTGATATAGAAAATCTCATTGATAGCTTGATGTTTTACTGAAAAATGTGATTGAATTAATTGCAGTTATTATTGTGCGATTTCTTCCAACATTGTCTGTAAACACATGGGGAAAAATGCTGTTTTGCAAGATATAGTTAAGATAATCATGATACAGGATCAGAAACTGATGCAGCAAATTACACAGACCTTACATATCCACAGAAGATGTCCTCACCTCATTGAAATAAGTCTGCAGCTGCAGCAGTATAGCACTGATGCTTCGTTCCAGTCAAAGTCAGAATTGGAAGTTGAAATTTACTACTTTCAACCTCCAATTGTTCCAGGTGCACGACACCAAACGTAAACAAAAAAACATGGCTGACCATGACAAACTCCTGTTTTCTTGCGTACGCACAGTTGAACTCTCTGGTGTTAATTAAAAGTTTTAATGAAAATGAGTGACATAAATATATGCTACTCATTAACTGTCTAGCTGCAGCGGTTGGTAATCTGCAGAAGTTAGTAAATGTTGTGTAATGTTTTGAAATTTCTTGACATTTTTTGATGTTTTTCCGGTGTAACTTTTGAGCAGAGAAGATTACTTTGAATTTTTTCAGTAACCAGCTACCTAATAACATTAGCGACATATTTTGACATCAATTGACATAAAGGGCAGATTTTATTATATGATAGTATGAATGTGTCGATTCAAGGAAATGCAGTATTTGGCACATTAGCGTTTGCTTCAGTTTTCAGCCCTGGAGGTTGCCGCTTGGACAAAACATTGTAATGCAACATGGTGGGCAAATTGTCTTAAGCCTATTTATGCGAGAGGCCTTGACTTTGACTTCTCTTGCAGGGATCATGTTCAACACCGGCATTGGCCAGCACATCCTGAAGAATCCATTGATTGTCAATGGGATCATTGAGAAGGTACGCTGTACTCGTGCACTGTGGTACTGAAAAGTTAAATGCACACAAACATCATAAAACATCATAAACAAAGACAATCACGGCGTTCCTAAGCCATGGTTGTGGCTGTGTTTTTCAGGCTGCTCTGAGGCCGACAGATGTGGTTCTGGAGGTGGGACCTGGTACTGGTAACATGACAGTGAAATTGTTGGAAAAAGCCAAGAAGGTGAGAGCATCCAAGTGTTTTCATGCTTGCTTTTTTGCTAACACTCCTGAAACTACAAACATATACGCATAAACCTCTTAATAATCAGATGGACATCAGAGTTGACCCTGATTGTGTAATCAATGTGTCTAATTATTTAAAACTGCTGTTTGTGTGTTGCTTGATCAGAATTCAGAAGCACCATTTTGACATTATGTCCAGTTTGCACGTCTCATTCACTCTCTCTCTCTCTCTTCTGTTGTGATCTTTGTGTTTTTTTTGCTGTGTCCGCAGAAGTCACAGTTCAGTGTTGACAGAAATTGCTATCTTTGCAGGTGGTGGCCTGTGAGTTGGACTGCAGATTAGTGGCTGAACTTCAGAAAAGAGTGCAGTGCACGTGAGTGGAGACAGCAGCACTGTGCTGCCACATATATATCAGTATCTGAAATTAAATAAAAAAGTGAGTATGTGATCTAATAAAAGGACATTTTGTTTTCCAACAGACCCATGCAGACCAAACTTCAAATATTAGTTGGAGATGTTCTAAAAACAGATTTGCCATTCTTTGACGTCTGTGTGGCTAATTTACCTTACCAGGTAAAGACGTGTTTCCTCCACACTGCTAACAGTTGATTCAATGTCATTCAATACCTTTAGCTTAAACTTGACTTCACTTAATTGTGCAGATTTCGTCACCGTTTGTCTTCAAGCTCCTGCTGCATCGACCTTTCTTCAGGTAAGAAACAACCAGGGTGGGTGGGGTCTGTGGCGTGGGTGGGGTCTGTGGTCTCTCTGGCTGCGGGTGGGATGGGGGCGGTTTGCGCCGGCTGGCATCTCTCCTGTGCAGCGCATTACTTGGCTGTTGTGTGCCGCTAGTTAGATTGGTAGCGGGGTAGTGTTGATTGGCTCATCTGTAGGTCATTATTGGCTTGCGTGCTTGTCGGGGGTTGGGGGCATCGGGTGCGGGCCTGGACTGGGCTGGTGTGCGGCTCTGTCCTGTGTGCATGCTGTGCATCCTGATAATTGCATTTCGGTTCTCTGAGGGGTCTGGCGACTGGTTGTTGGAGGGGTGGGGGACCGGGAAGAAGGGGTTGACGGGGTGGGTTGGGGGTGCGGGCTGGTCCTTTTTGAGCTGGTTGGGGGGTGTCCCGGCAAGGACGGGGGATTGTTGGACTTTGGGTTGGGGCTGCACTGACCTGCCTCGGGAGTGTGTGTGGGGGGTCTGGGGCACGGGGCTTTGGGGCCTCTGGGTCTGGGGCGGGTCTGCGCCCTGGGGATGGGCGGGGTTGTCGCTGACTCTGGGGTGCTGCCGGTGCTAGAGGGGCTCTTGCTATAAGCCCTGGGCGGGAGGGACCTGGCGTCCTCCTGCTTAGGGGGGTGGGGGATGGGACTGAATAAATGATGGGGCCAGTCAGGAATCTGGTCTTCTAGCCTCCCTATGACCTCCTTCACCTTTCCCCCTTTGGTCATGTCTCACAACATACACCCTTAGGACTCTGGGGGGTGGGGCTGCTTTATTGCGGCCTCGCACTTCTTCCTCCCACACTGCCTGCCTCTCAATTTTAATTACACATTAGACACAGAGGGCTTGGGGGGTGGGAGGGGCACGATGGGAGGCTCCACTACCTGACAGTTGTGGGGTGCCTGTGTCACAACTACCCTCCAATTTTAGTTGCACCTTAGTTACCACACACCTTATCTTTACTCCACCATACAACACTTCACAATCCATGACATGCATCCAACACAAAACAATACATTTACAGAGGCAGGCAGAGGGGTTGAAGGAGTGGGGGAGATTCTCATTGGCCTCGTGTCCTACCCCTGGAGCCCCGGGCGTCGGGGGTGCTGTGGGGTTGGTGACGGCCTTGCCTGATCTGGGGTGGATTGGGGGTTCAGGGCTCCCCTGGCGTGGGGGCCGCCCTTGACCTAGGGTTCCGGGGACTCGGGCTTGTGGCCTTTGCTCATTTCTGGGCGGGTGGTGTGTCCCTGGGCCTGGGGGCCCGTTGTCTCCTCTCCTGGGCCCTCTTCGGCAGAGGTGAGGCTCCCGCTGCTTCCCCCTGCCAGCTCTCTCACGGTGGGGGCATTCGGGAGTCTCTGGGGCGCATGGCCGGTGTTGTCGGGGTAGGTTTTGGTGCTCCTCCTTGGGGGTGCTTGACTGGGGGGGCTGGGCCCCTGTCCGGGGATGAGATTGGCCTCGGGGGCTGCTGTCACTGCCTGCACTGTAGGGAGGGATGCCTCTGGCTGGGCTGGGGGTCCGTTGGCCTGGTTCTCCCGCGTTATCGCTCCCTGGCGGCAGGGAGCTTCCCGGCACGGCTTTCTACTGTTATTCCTTTGGGCGGGGTACAGCTTCCCCTGGGACATGCGGTCTGGGGTCCTTTGCGCTTTGGGGGGTCGCAGGGTGTCCTGGCTTCTGGGGGTGGGGGTCTCTGCCTCGTTGCTGGTTTGGCTGGTGTTGCATGGCGGCCGGGGGGCGCACTGGGCATGGGGGATGTCGGCTGGCGCCGGCGGCCTTAGTTTTTCCAGGTGGTTGGGGGGACGGCGGACTTTTATTGGCGGGTGCACGGTGACCTGTGCGGCGTGTTTGCTGCCGGGCTGGGACTTGCTGCTGGTGTTTCTCTCCGTTGGCTTTCGCTGTCGTGTTGTTCCGTTTGCTCTCTCTCGTTTGCCCGACATCGCACGCGGGATTCGCGGGGGGCTGCCGGGCATTGGGTGTTGCCGTGCTCGCGCAGTGTGCGCGTTGGGCTCGTCACTTGTGCATTGGTGTTGATGATTGCGTGGCATTTGGGCATTTTGGTTGTTTGCTGCACGGCGGTGGGGGGGGGGAGCACTGGTCTATGTTGTGTGCGCGCCGCGGTCGGTCCGGGCGCTGCTCTTCCGCGGGTTAAGCTTTTTGCGTTCCGTCGGCATTAGTTTGTCAACTGGCATTTGGGTCGGGGTCTTCTGCGTTTGCATCGCGGTGCATCTGGGAGTCTTTGTTTTTTATTTTATTTGATTTAGTCTTTTTCTTTCTCCCACCCCTATTGCTACTGGGGTTCTTGCCTGCCTGTTACAGTCGTGGCGTCCCACTCTCACTAACAACTACATTCTTTAACAGGCTTATGCGCACACACATGTACACACACACACATACAGACACATTCACCCACACGCACACAGACACACACAGACACAAACAAACTTAGGTTGTCCCTGGTAGAATTATTCCTGATGCCTTTCTTTCAGTTACTTATTTAAATTAATTATTATTCCAGCTCTCGTGGCTGTGTTGTGTTGCTTATTTAGTGTGTGTGACTGTTTCTTGTTTTCATTGTTCTCTTAGTTGTCTTAATATGTCAGCTGTTTATTGCTGCTGTTCGGCTGGTTGTCTTTTACTATAATTATTATTATTTTGTTTGTTTTTGTTTTTGTTTGTGTTTGTTTGTTGTTGTTGTTTTTCTCCTCCCCAAGCCCCCCTCTTTGTTCTATTGCAGGTTTCCCGGTGACAAATCAATACATAATTAAATAAATAATAAAACAGACAAAGGAGTATTTTAATACTCTCTTGTTAAAGTAAAATCTGTCTGGCACAATATGGTATCCAGGTCATTATACTCTATACCAGGCTGCTGGGCAGGACAGGTTTTAAAAAAAAAAAAAAAAAGAAACAACCAGAGGCCCACTGAGAGTTTTTAAGTATGTTGCTCATTTGTTCACGTTGAGCGTTTAGCACCTCCTTTTTTGTTTCACTTTTGTTCAGGTGTGCCGTGTTGATGTTCCAGAGAGAGTTTGCCATGCGACTGGTTGCCAGCCCTGGAGACAAGCTGTACTGCAGACTGTCCATCAACACACAACTACTGGCTCGCGTAGACCATCTCATGAAGGTCAGTGTGCATTTTCTGGTGTTTGCTCTATTGACATGGCAACATCATGTCAGTGTCTTTTCCTGGTCTCTGTGATGATGTTTCCCCCTTGTTCAGGTAGGGAAGAATAATTTCCGTCCTCCTCCAAAAGTGGAGTCAAGTGTTGTCAGGATAGAACCGAAAAATCCTCCTCCTCCAGTTAACTTCCAGGTGAGTTTTGACTTTATTAATAGATAATTCCGGGGCGAATGCAGTTTGTCAAAAGAAACAGGAGATAGATTGTAGATAATTGTTGTTTTCTTTTCCCAACAAGGAGTGGGATGGCCTTGTCAGAATAGCCTTCGTAAGGAAAAACAAAACCCTCAGTGCAGCTTTCAAGTGAGTACCTGCCTGCTGCAAATGCTGCCACTATAATCCACGTCTGCTCTGTCAAAAGAGAAAAAGACACTGATCATGTTGGTTTATAATTTCCAGGTCCACTGCGGTAGAACAGCTGCTGGAAAAGAACTATAGAATTCACTGCTCTGTACACAATGTGGTGAGTCGTGGTGTAGTTTCAAATCATGTTGGACTCTCAGTCAGTGTTGCTACTTATAAACACACGTTTGGAAAATGCATCAGCCAGTTTTAGATCTAAAGTCTTGTGCTCCATCTTGACAGGAAGTCCCAGCAGACTTCAGTATCAGCAAGAAGATTGAGAGCGTTTTGCAGGAGGCAGATTTTTGTGAGAAGAGAGCCAGGTCCATGGACATTGATGACTTCATGGTGTAAGTTGAACATCTAATACTTATTGGTTTTTTCCAGCTTTTTTCTCCAAATAATCTAATGGGTCTGTTTTTACCTGTTTTAATTATGAGTGTTTTCTTCACCCACAGGCTGCTTCATGCATTCAACTCTGCAGGGATCCACTTTTCTTGAACCGTAGAGGGAACTGAAGGGAACAAGTCTATGAATCGTACGTTCTGCCTTTATGATGAGAGGGGAAAGAAATAGATTGTCTGATTGATATTTCCTCCTCTGGAGCTTTTCTTGGAGGAACTGAATTTCAAATGTTGCAGTAGTTGGATGAAATATATACAAAGAACATTGGAGAATACATTTGAAGAGCTCATATTGAGTGTGCTATTTTACCCTTTTGAGAATAGCTAATGTGTATGGACAACTTTCAGCAGAGGGAAGCTGTAATAAGCCCTCTTCGTTGTTTAAGGAACTGTCAGTGTGTGTGAGAGTTAAGTCATTGAAAATAATCTGTAATGGATGATTATTCTAATCTAAAAGCAATCTACAGTTTGTTTAAACTATGCCATAATTACCTAACTGTGGGAAAGGTAAATATTTAACAAGTGTACATGGCACTAGTGGTTGCAGTCTGCTAAAATAAATTCAGATTTTCCACAAGTTCTTTCTCTGTCAACGCTGTTCTTCACACTGACTGCAACCATCGATTATATCCTCATTGATTGATTCCAGAGCCCGAAGTGATTTATCCAAATAGCTTGTTTTATCCAACCAATGTACCAAAACCAAAAGATATTGAATTTAAAATGATATGAGAAAGAGGGAAAGTAACAAATATCACATTCTTTGGAGGCAGTGATCAGATCTTGCCTCAGTACATTACTGGTGCTTTGAGAAGTCGTTACTGTCTTGTTGTCTGCTTTAAGTGTGACATCATTGTTCTCGTCACAGTGCAAAACTACTATTTAGGTGTTGAATGTCTTCATCAAAAGTGTTCGTATGCTTTCGTGTCCCCCTCAACATGGATGGTAGAGATGAATGTCATCAGCGTTTATTCCCTACTATGGTCCATAGACTGTATATAAGAACCGATGGTCACAGTCAGTAAAGACATCTCTGGCTGATTGTATTTTATTTTCAAAGTCTGTACCGGAAAGTGTTAAATGCTATTGTATCACGCTTTGAAGCGTTGGTGGTTGTCATGAGAGCGTTTTAAGTTTACACTGCCCCCTGTGGTCATACCTTGTAACTACACTTCTGTGTTTTATTTTAAATCTCCACCAACAAACACACTGATACTTGACCTTAGTGCATATGCATGAATTATATTGCAAAATGCGAGACAGCAAGCCAAAAATAAATGTTAACTTGCCACTGTCAGGAGAGCAACGTTACACCTTACTGTTAATGTCCTCTAGTGGTAACAATGCAGAGCATCGTACATACATCGTTATTTTTCCTTTCATTTTAACATTTCATTTCAAAAGTCTTTACTGTAAAATGGTAATATGTTAAATCTTGACTCTTGGTACACCAGTGGACACAATGTGTAACTACACTGTCTAAAGTGATGGGTTTTTCTGAATGTTTTTTCCACCTACTGCAATACTACATTATTGTTTTTCTGATCATCATTTGTGTGTTTGTATTCGTAAATTAAACTGGTCATTCTCCACCAGCAGCAATACAGGTGTGGCTGACTGTGACCACTAGAGGGCAGAATTTCTCAGGATCATAAATGCACAAATACAGCATGGAAGCAGACTAGCACTTTATATAAAAATAAATATATAGCACATTGTGACCACTATATTTCCGTGGCCTGCATATGTAAAAACACCCCCAAGTATGTATTGCATACAGTTTCCATATCTCAAAGAATTAGCTGAGGCAATCAGTACTTATTCTATTAGTACTAGTATTCTATTTTTATTTTATAAACTCATAATTTATCTTTTATTTGACGTTTCTAATTACTGATATGTCTTTTTGCTGCTGAAGCACAAGAATTTCTCCTCATGGAGGATTTTTATCTTGTCGCTTGTGAAGAATGTGCAGTTGTAGGTACTCAGTGTGACCGCTAGAGGGCAACAAACAGGCATGGCGACAGGTGACGCCGCTGGTGTCAAGGTAGACAATAGTCTTACTTAGTGCTTCCGGTGAAACCTTTCACAATAGAACTTGTGCATTTTTCTTAACCGTTCGTCTTCAAGCTGCTACTGCATCAACCTTTAAAGTAAGAAACAACCATCACTACAATGCATGAGATCACATACAGGTATCTGTGGAGGGTAAAGACAGACAGAATGTTATTGTAAGTCAAGTGAATTTGGGATTCAATTATGTTTTCCCCTTTTTAATGTGGAATTCACCATGAAATGTGCAGCAACGGTCGGAGGGTTTTTAACTTCTAAAGTGATGGAAGATAGCTCCAGGAAAAAAAGTTATTCAGTCCATTTATTTGGATAACTCGTCATCACAAAAGCCATTTAAATGAAACACATGAATCTTTATTACTTCATCCAGCAATACATCCGGTGCAAACAATGAGCAACATAACCAATGGTAGGTCAGTGGGCTTCACTATACATTTATCAATAGCAGTTTTCTAGTTTCTTTTTTATAACAAAGTGTTAAACAGGGGTGGAAAACATGTTTTACATTAAGTAAGAGTTTGTAAGTCAGTTGCCACATAACATGACATGGCGCAAACTACATGTAAAAACCTCTCAGGGGCACAAGGAGGGAAAAAAAAGGAAGAAGCACCATCTGGTTAAAGGCTTCTTCCATACTGTTAAATGCTCTGAGAAGGAAGGAAAAGAGAGAAGAGACTTCTTATGAGGTATGACTTTACAATGCCAACTGATGACCCAAAAGCATGAAAGCAGAGGACAGTGGCGGACATACACTATTACAGAGTGCACATGCAGACATGTCAGCCAGAGCAACCAGAAATCAAATACTGGTTTTGTGCGGTAAACCTTACAACATGTTCAATGAAGCGCTCTTATGATACCAGGTCAAAAATATTCTGTTTAAAGAAAGTACAAACAAGTATAAAAGAAAATAATTTAAGAATAACAGAGAGGGGAGACTAAATGTCATTCTCCATGGAGAAAAAAAACTATTAAAAAGGAAAGGAAATGAATCTATTTTCCTTCTGAAGTTTTCTAATGAGACCATAGTGGGTGAACAGCCAGTTTTGTTAGGAGAGGGATCAAAACAAATGCAATTTCCTTGAGCCTGTTGGTACACCAGACAGTTTTCACAGCTGCTAGTGACAGCCCGAGTTGTGCCGAACATCTAGTGGTTATGTTTCTGTATGTGCCACTTAAACCTCTTCAGCTTCCAGTCTCTAAAGAGCACGTGGCCTCTTGGGATTGATCTGCTTACTGGCTTGCTCCTCCTCCTGGAGAGCAGAGCGGAATGACTTCACTTTATCTGTTGAAGGAAGGACAGGGAGAGAGAGACACATCGTAAAAAAATAAATAAATAAACATTGAGCAGCGTTTGCCAGTGCAGGATGTTATGTGTTCTGTGCTTTAGTCATACCTCGGAGCTCAGTGAGGATTTCTATCTTCTGGTCTAGGATCTGCTCCAGTTGAGTGGCGTACGACTCCACGTCATAATCCACCTCCTCTGTCATCTCCAACAGCACCTTTTCATCTTCCAGCCACCGGATAGACTCCTGCTCACAGAGGACACATACCAGTGCATATTTGAAATACTGCCTTCAAACAGAGGTTATCAGTGTTAGAAGGGTTAATTTTTCTAAAAGAAACGTGGAATATACATTTGTTACAAAAATGTGCGTCATAAAACAATGATGAGGTGAGCTGGAGTATTTAATTTGTTGTTTTCTTCAGCGTTCTGACCTGGAAAACAGCTCGGTGGTCCTCCAGGACCTGCTCCTCCATCTCCACTAACTGAGACACTGCCTCATGGAAGGTAAACAGCTGGGGAGACACTTCCTCCTCCTGGGAAACATATTTACAGGTTCAACAAGGGACACAGAATAAGGGTTAACATCAGTAGCAACAAAAACTGACCATATGACAGACACTGAGATCACTGCTGAAATCATGATCCCAGTAAACACTGAAGGTAGAGTAAGCGATTCTAGCAAAAACCAACACCATGACTAATAGCCCGATATAGAGCAAACAATGACTCAGCAAGTAATGTAACTAACATTAGCTGAGTTGTGGGTTAGCATACGGTTGTTAAAGTTGCATGCAGAGAGGACAAGACCGTCCCAGAGCCAGCACACCAGCTCCAGAAAGCAATACTCACAACTCTCCTGCTGCTATAGCTAACATCCCAACAACAGCATGGCTTGGTGAACTAGAAAGTAAGCTGAATGTCCGTGGGCAAGTCATTTAATGTTACCTGACGCACAAATCATGGCTCAAATGTATGGCGTGGTGTGCACCACTTTGTTTCCCCTAAAGAGAAATTCAGCTGAATTTGACAAAAAGGCGTGTATTGGATTTGAATCGCTTACCGCACCTTTAATATTCACTTATAAATAATGCTGATTCTTTAAAAACTCAAAACACAAATCTTTCTCACAAGCAACAAGGTTGTGGCATCTTCTCAAAACTTTTCCATGTTTGAAACCATCTATAATTGGCGACAGGTAGAATTTTATCCATGTTGCCCTAAAAAAAAAACCCCAAAAAACAGACCCCACGTTCTTACATTCTGCTCACAGAGCAGTTTGAGGTCGTCTCTCTGCGGCGAGATACTCAGCCAGTCCTCGTCCAAAAGATCCAGCTGGTTGACCATGTGGATGTTGGGTCGGCCCCCCTCTATCACTTGGTTGGGGTCCACTGTCAGCTCCTTCACCCTGCGGAGAAAGACATGGAGCTGGTCAGGGCAGATTCTTTCGCAGCGCAGACCCGCTCTGAACATGGCTGCTGTCTGCGTCGGGGTATGACGTTAACTGTGGGCTTAAAAGACAAACAGCACAGGATGGCGTCATGACAGCAGTGACATCATGCATAGGGGAAAGATGACTGTGTTGGCTCTGTAAATGTTTGAACTAATTCTTCTTTATGCTCTAACTGGGCACGCAAACTTGATTCAGAGACACAATGAAAGAGCAGTTTGTCCAGTTCACCTGTACAATAAAATGCAATCCAATACATGCCACCATCAGGAGTCCTAAGTGCTGGAATCTAGCTGGTCAGAGCTCGTGTTTAATGAGGCCTCACAGAGCTGATAAGGTATTACTGCCATGTACCCGACCTGCAGGTACAGCGATTTAGGACTATGTGCAAGGGATTACATGCTGAGAGTTTGCTCAAACAAAAGCTCACCCTTGATGCTTTTACTGAACAGCTTCATGGATGTTTTAGTGTTGTTACTAGCACTGAACAACAGCTGACACCTTATTATGTAAAGTTTTGAACTGCCATTAATTCGGACTAATCACACCCAGCTTTCACAGATCCCTGACATACAGGTCTAAACACTGCACAACAAATAAGACACACCCATAAGAACAGACGGATGTGTCATTCTTCAGGAGTCAGTGAAAAGAAAACAATTATGTCCACAGCTTAGCCAAAGATAAAACGTCAAAGCAAGGGCAAGAGGATGGAAGGAAGTGTCACACCATGCAGATGAAAAATAGGAAGGGTAAAATGAGAGGTTTTCCACTGTGAACAGCTTATGAAGTGAATAAAAGCTGCTAAAATGGATGTATAACATAATGTAATAAGTACTTGCAGGGGGGAGCATGCACTGTGTGTGTTTTCTGTGTGTAGTGCTGTGCTTTGGGGGAGTGCTTGACCTGCTGGGAGAGGTAGCAGCAAAGTCATCGTACTCAAAGGTATTGGTGGGCGAGAGCTCAGAGCGACTCCCCTGACCGCCCTGGGAGAAGGGGATGTCCGACGGACTAATCCCAAACTCCTTCACTCTACACAGCGGCACCAGCCACACCAGCGCACAGAGGGCGGGAGAGAAGAGGGAAACAAAGCAGGAGAAAGGGAGGAGAGAAGGAATACAAGAGAGTCAGACAGAACTACTGAGAGTTGGCAGAGACATTAACAACAACATCGGTACTGCTAATTTCAATCTAAACAAAAGCTACTGGGGACAATAATGGAATTGAAGGAGCTATAAATTCATAACACTGCATCATTTGCAGAGGTTCCTGTGGCCACAGGGCATATTTCCACCTGTTGGCGTAGCGTAGTGTGTTGAGGGTATTCTCGCAGGATGTCATACCAGGAGAGATTGTTGCAATCTGCACAGAGAAACAGAACATCATTCAAATGATGATATCTGGAAGGGATATGAAGACATGGACACAGGATATTAATAAAGGCAATGAACTGACCATGCATGTGCGTGAATTTTCCCCAATGAAGGAGTCTCTCAGGACCTGGGTGAGCTTACTGGCTCTGAACGGAGTGTGGGGCTTGTTACGGCCAAGAGCCCTGATACACTCCTGAAACAAGAAAAGCAGAGACGCATCCTATGGTAAATAAAACGTAGCTATTTAATATCACGGCGTATTTCGTTCACAAACAGGAAAATTTACTTGTTGAATTTGCAGCTCAAGTAGCAGAAAATACAATCCCCTCCAAAAGTATTGGTAAGGCAAATTCCTTTGTTTATGTTGTTCACTGAAGACATTTGGGTTTAAGATCAAAAGATGAGTATGAGAAAAGAGTTC